TGTGTGTGTATATATATATATATATATATACACACACACACACAAGAAACTGTACAAAAACCACTGAAAAGTAAAACTTGGGAACATCACTACATGGTACTTACCTTAGGTTGTGGCAACCAGATATCAATTGTTGTCATGGTTAGTAGCCTACAAAGTCACCTAAGTCTGATTACAAATTAAATACTAATTCAAATTTTTATTGCTAGATACAACTTACTAATTAGCTTATATCCTATTGTTTGATGGTTAATCTGCAGCTGTTTTGATAGAAGTTTTGGGTGAGAGCCCAGATAGTTGGTTAGAGCCCCTGCTTTTCTCACAAGCCCAGGATTGAACCTCATCTCCTTTTCATGACTCCCCTGAGGACAGCAGCAGATCAGCAGTCAAAACATAGGATATCAACTAAGTAGTAATTAGTATCTTCTAATAAAAAGTATTAACTAATTAATAATTAGATCTAGATGATATTATTGGAAGCTATTCATAACAACAGTCACTTCATCTTTATATTCACTAAAAGTGCAAAAACTAAGAGTAAAATATGATTTTAATGGTGCTGTTCTTTTAGCACAATAATGCATTTCTTAAAGTCACTATTAGAAAAAAAAGGTTACAACATAAATGCAAAAGGCCAGCAAGGTTTACTTATTAGAAGACTTATGAATACAGTTGTTATCTGATGTAACAGGAAAATCCTGGATTATTTTTTTATATCCTGAAGCAGAAAAATATTTACATATGATTTTATGTATCTTGATAATAACAAGGAAGGACAATAATAGACTAATGCATACTTGCATTATGAAACTTGGTGAAAACTGGCCAGTCATACTGAGTTGTTTAGACTTTTCACAGAGAAAGGAGATGTAATTGTGTAATGAAAACAATTATGTGTATGGAAGATAAGTTTAATTATCTTATGGAACACAACAATTAGCCTATGTTGCTAGATTAGCCTTGGGGAACGTCATGGTCTCTGAGTCAGGTGTCCTCCTGCTCGCTTGGCAGTATGCATAAGTCTAAGGCTTTATAATACAAGAATTTTGGGCTTAATCCTTGCACAATGCAGATACTCCTTTCTTCAGCCTTGTGCTGTAACAAAGACAGACCTAGGCCTTACTAACAGCTCCCAGATTAGGTGCAAGACAACATAATGCAACAGTTGATAACAAAAGAGATAATTTACACCAAACAACAACAAAATTTGATTGAGTTATTGATCTACTCTACGTTGTTAGTAAACACCTATAATAATAATAATAATAATATGTACTGTTCTAGGCCACCAAGACAGAAGAGCAACTAACAAGCCAGCTGAGGTCATTACGCCAACAGTTCACTGTTCGAAGCTCTAATTTCACTGACCATGTATCCCAGTTGGAAGGGCTTAGGGAAGAGGTAAGCGTCTGCTTTTGTACCAAGCTAAATAGTAAGCTATACATTTTCCATTTCTATTTATATAATCACTACACATTACAATATGTGCATTTGACACTTATGATTTGTTTAAATTTTGTGTATATAGTCCATGTGAAATATGTAGTTTTTTTTCATGAACTTTGAACTGTGCAATGAAATTGATTTGACAGTCAATCCTGAAAAACCATGATATTTATTTTTAAATTAATTGATTAATTTTTTGATAGGTTTTAACTACAGCAAAAGAAAAAATTTATTCAGTTGAATTCATTCACTTTGATTGCTCTAAGTTTAGCCATAAAATGCATAATAGTTATTTATTTAAATTTTTTTTTCAAATGTACGATCTCCTCCTAGATTGATATTCTTACTGAGAGAAAATGTGATTTGGAAAGAAGAATTGAAGGACTTGGAGAGGAACGTGAGAATCTCAGCTTGTCTTTAGAAGAATCTGGTGATCGGATCATCATGCTGGAATGTAGTAACAAAGAACAGGAGCAACAGGTGAATTTCTCAGAATTTGGCACTTAGACAAAAAATCAGTAGTTGTTGTCTTTCAGCCAATGAAGCTATATTGCACTCTTTTCAATTTTAATTCCAAAATTATAGGAAGCATACAATTATAAAACATGCAGCATGACTTTAGAACAAACTTCTTTGCAAATGTTGTGTTGCATAATCTGATATTTATGTTTTTACTAAGAAATAAGATCATTAAACAATTAACGAAATTAACGAAAATTTTTTAATGACTTGTTTGCTAAAAGATACTGCATTTTATATACATGTACAGCACATGCTTAACATATGAAAGTACTGACTCCCCTTCTCCTAGAGAGGAAATTACTGATATTAGAATCTTAATAATTAACACACTTAAGGTGGTCATTTCAATATTGTTTCTATGATTGTTTTATGTTGTTTCTACTTCTTTATACCACATTGTTTTGGTATGTGACATTCTTTGTCTATATGTTTGATATCATTAGTGTTTTGGGGATGAAAAAATGTTTGTGTCTTATAATTATGCAAAGAATTTTCTTGAAGAAAGCCCACAAACAACTGTTGGAATATGTTAAGCAGACGTGTAGCATTACTAGTGGACTGATGTGCAGATGATGGCAAATTAATTTTTGCATGCTTAAAACTCATTCTTGGATGATTGTTTTATACATTTATGAATAAGAACTGCTATTTTTATTTTTTCCAGCCAGAAATTGACTTTTAAACAATGAGATTTAGCCTTTTCCAGCCAGAGGAGTATTTTATGATAGAATTTCTTATATTTTTCCAGCCAACAAATAATTGGTTGACTAGAAGTTCGAATTATAAATACATCCTGTAGAATAATAATTGTTATAAATTTAGATAAAAATGTAAACAAAACATGGTATATAATGCTTTGTTTTGTAGATCCGTAATCAAAAAAGAGATATTGAAGAACTCAGACACGGCAATGTTCAGCTCCAAGCTAAGCTGGACACTCTACTAAAAAGATGCAGCTCCCCAAGTTTTGGACAGACATCAATATTCAATGAAATTGAAATGTCATCACACTCTTCTGTAGAAGATGAGTTGAGATCACTAAATGGAAGTCAGGTATAAACATTGTCAGTGCTTTTAAAGGGTAAAAAAAATGTTTGAAGTTGAAATGTCTGATTTGTTTAATTAAACCAAATTATTTGCAAAAAATGTTTTGTTTTTTTCATGGGCTTTAACACCTTGTGAAGAATAGAATAATTAATATTAAAAACAAACTGAAGATTAAGTAATCTTGCTCATTTAAAATATTAAATACATTTATTTTTATGATAAAAATATATGATTGGAGCATCACTGATAATCATGTTAATTAATGTAGGAAATGTGGCACTTTTGATACTATTTATACATTTGTTTTTCGTTTTTTTTGTTTTGTTTCATTCAGCCCATGTACTTTAACTAGTTTTGTTTGAGAATCATATTTTCAGATTTTAAGATACTGCATGTAAATTATAAAAAAAGATGGCAAAATAAAATATTTGCTAACCTAACAGTTCCTAAAAGTTACACACACATTTACTTAAACAGTTAATCAAATCATCTAATATATTTAATACATAATTTTTTGCCAAATAACAGAATGGGAGAAGTGGGCCACAGTCTCAGCCAGGATCATCAATTGGTTTTCATGGTGACTTGGAATATGAAGATGCTGAATGTGAAGATTCTGAAATGATTACGTTTACAGGATTTTCAATTCCAGATTCAGAAGATGGCTGGAAGGTAAAAATATTCCTATTATATGATATTAACTCACTGAAAATGTTTATTAATTTTGTTCTGTTTATAATCACTGTAGAAATTAAAAATTGAAATATAATCATGAAAATGGATTTTTTAAGAACTATGCATTAACAATTTATTAAGTTGTTATAAAAACTGATTTAAGCTCTGAGCTAACATTGTGGATGACTATGTATATGGAGAAGATGGAAAATTAACGTAGAAGTTTCGTATATCTTGAGAGTAATTTACAGTAAATGGAATATTATCAGCATATTAAGTATTTCAGTATTTTATCTGTAGTTTCGTCAAGAACTAGTAGAGATCTACAACCAGATCAAACGACTCTGTGAAGATTTGAAAAGAAGGCGAGATAGCTTGTCAGTGGATAGTGGCATTTCATCATCACCAGAGGATGTGCAGGCTCAAAATATGCGTGTTGGAATGATAATGGCAGTTCTCAAAGAATTAAGAGACCTTATGCATGATCTTTTAGCCAATTATAGTGAAACAGTATGTATTTAAATAATTTTATCTATGATGATTTCTTTATTGAGATTGTCAGGTTTTGTATAAATGATATTTCATAGTTAACACTAAGATATATAAAGTGTAAAATGTTTAGCTGTTTTAAAATACCATTAGATTAAACCATATTTTTAATTGCATGTATTCTTAAAGTAGAAATAGATAATGTAAATATTTAATAAACATATTAAACAGAAGTTGCAAATAAATTAATATAAACTGTATATGTTTTTGAAGTAAAAACAAACAATATTAATGTTTCATAAGAATATCAAATAGAATTAATGACTGAATTAATATAAGAGCCATATTTGTATTTGTATATTATTGAAATAAAAAGAAGTGTGTATCTCTCTGTAAATATATCTATATAGATATATGATAAAATTAATAAAAGCATATCATGAATGAGTGAAAGTGAAGATAAGTTACTTTAAAAAAATCTTTTTATCTTGTGTGGGAAATGTTTAAGGAAGTTATGAAATACAAGTCTTCTTGCAATGACAATAATATATTGCCAATCCTTAGTAATCTTGAATCAAAATTATTGGCATTGTGGAAAAACTAAATATTTTGCCAAAAGTTTTTATGTATGAGTTGAATGGACTTATCCATCTGTAATATAAATTTAAAAAAAATCTTAATTTCTAGCCTTGTTCAGCTTGCCAGACTATTGCCCACGAGAGAGACTTGTTAGAAAAAGTTCAGAAGGATCTCAAAATAAAAACCGATGAACTGAAAAAGATGGAAGAACATGTGTCTGAGCTTACAAAAAAGGTGTAATACTTTAAATAGAGTTATAAACTTTTAAAGAAATTTGCTAATATAGTATAATAAACCCAGTTACATAGTTCTATTCCCACCATGTTAACAAAAAAGTATTATTTTTAAAGTAATTAACAATATTATTTGTTTAACTGCAATCTCATGTAATTTCAGTACTTAGAAGGTAGGAAACTGCAACCTAAAGTACTGTAATGTTATAGCAGACAAATATTACAATTCTGTGATGTGTTCTTGATAAATATTTTCCCCTACTGTTGTAACAACTTTTGACCAGATGTGTGTCTGTATGTACAGTTGTGGTAGTCAGATACACTGATATCTTACAAAAAATAATAAGTATCCACAGAACACAGGTTCTGGAAATGGTATGCAGAGTAATATTTCAACATGGACAGAAGAGAAAAACTAAAACAAATACAAGTTAACATATAAATAGCATCTTTATTCACAGTGCGAGACTTAACTTTCTAGCCAGCTGTATTCTGTTGTGTGAGTTCTCATTGGCTGCTGGGGTGGAAAAAAAAAGTCAAACATCTATACCAGACAAAGACCAAATCAAGAAATAGATCCAGAATCATGGAGATATGTCAGGCAGAGGTCCTAGTGTGGTATCTCACATTCCTTGAGATTACCTATAATTTCAAATAAATATATACAAATAGAGAGAACCTCAACTCATACTAGTTTTTACAATTCTCTGTATTTGAAATGAGCATAACTTCACCCAAGGAGTCATGACACAAAAATAGGGTCAAGGAGGTACAAGCTTTTATGGAATAATTGTTGTAGTATGTAGCATTTTGCCTATGCAAGATAATTAGTGCAAGTTTCTAACATTTGTGTATCTGGTTTACCACGAAACTGCTAACTACATGCTCACAAATTTAGAAAAACTGTCTGAATATATTTAAAAAAAAATGAAATAAGTAGCTCTTTCAACTGTATCTCAGTTAAGGTCTATTTATATTTTAAACATGATGTCTTTTATGCAAGAAAGTTTGTTTTTATATTAAAATAAAAGATTATCAATGATTTTTTTAATTTTCTTAAATGACAGTATTAACTTTCAATTAAAATTTTCTCGATATATGTCAATGAGAGCAACATTAACTTGAAATGAAACCTTATCAAATTGGCTAGGTCACACATATGATTTTATTGTTCAAAATGCTGTTTACTGCAGTCGTGAGACATTAAACTACAGATGTATATATTGTATATTGGGATTTTTTATTTGTTTTGTAGTTAAGTGTAAAGCTACACAATGGGTTATCTAAGAAACCCTATTTTTATTTTCATAAGACCTTAAGGCTTACCACTGAAACTGGGCTTGTTAAGAATAAAGTTTAAAAATAATTATAAGTCTTCTTTTGATATTTTTTGCATTTTCCAACTTGAGAATATGTTGAACTTCAGGTAACAGTAGATTTATTTCTGGTATTTGTTTATGCAAACTCATTATTAACAGCTAGTTTCCTTAATTTCAAATTTTTAAATGTTTTAATTTTAAAAAATACCAGAAGGTGTTTTGTTCTTTGTTAATAAACATTTCTAAAGATGAAAACATATAAGCTACTAAATCATTTGATTTATTTGTATACCACTATAAATATGCAATATAAAAACTTCAACTGGTTCTGTCTGAGTGAAAACTATATTATGATATGAAACATAAATAAAATTTCTTGTTCATTATGTTCAGGTAATCATCCAAGAAAGAGATGTAGCTGTTCTTAAAGAAGAGAGAGACCAGCTGCGTGATGATATTAGCAATAGTAAAATTGCTAAAGATGAAATTGTTAAGAAAGCTTGGGAAGTCCGTGATGGAGCTGTTGAAAGGTTAATATGTTTTCCTCTTTTTTATTTTGAAATTAATATAAAATGCAGGTACACATACTTGCGCCTTTTTATACCACTCTGTAAAACTTAGACTGATACAAAATAAATGTTTTATGAAATAAGCTGTTATCATTAGGAAAAAAATTGTAGTAATTAGAATTGTCATACATTTATAAAACATTTAATAGTGAATATAGTTTCATGAGAAAATATTTAAATAATAGGAGTTTAATCTCATTTCTGCAGTTGAGCATAAACATGTGCTTTTCATTTGTCATTGTCTTATACAGGAAAAATGCTGTTGAGATTCAACTAGCCAAAACAAGAATTGACATGATGCATATCAACAGCCAGCTAATGGAAGCCATTCAACAAAAAGTGGAACTCTCCCAACAATTAGAACAGTGGCAGGTAATGGCTGTTGTTTTTGTAATTTAAAGTTTTTCTCTTCAAATGGATAATCGGAAAAAGAAGGTACAGTTTTATCAAACTTGTATCAAAGTGAAGTGAAGCTGTCAACCTTTCTGGTGAACGAAACCTTGTCGGCCTAAAAATTGTTTAGTTAAAATGTTGATGTTTATACTTGTTGCTTGTTTAAATAACTTTCCTTTTTCTCTGAACTGGTGTATTTAAGTGTTTTACTGGCTCACAGACACACACCCCAGTGAAAGAATAGACCATTCCAGGCTTTTACTTGTTGTTAAACAAATGTTTAAGCAACTTTATTTATTCAGTTTCCTTTTTCTTGTTTTTATTTTTTGCTTCTCTTTAAGTTTTGAATTTAACTATAAAATTTGATATTGATCATATAAATTATTTCCAATAGCCTCATAAAAAAAAAATTGTGTAGAGCTAAATAGTTTTACTCTTTTCAGTTTTGCCCCCAATGGCTCATTAGTAAGTAAAAAATCAGGTTTCTATACCTGTGGGGGGTAGAGCACAGATAGTTCATTGTGTAGCTTTGTGCTTATCAACAACCAACCAACTTTTCTATTTTATATAGGTGCAATAGAATTTTTAAATATTGACATGCAACTAGCAGGGTAAATGTCTTGGTGGTACACTCATTAAATATGGTTAATCTTTCTAGAACAACATGTTTAAGTAAAATTGAGTTATGATGCTTGGAAAGCACATTGTTCTAGGTTGTAAGATATATGTGTGATTCACCAAAGTGTAGAGCGAGTTAACAATAAGGGTTATTAAATTGAACATCAAAGCATGGTAACAAGATGATGGCATATAGTCTGCAAATACACAAGATCCAACCAGCTATGTTTTTTTTTATGAGATGCATATATTCCCTCTGAGCTAGTTCTCAAAATTTAAAATATAAAATTTGCCCAAATTATATATTATTTAGTTCAGTAAGAACATTTTCCAACTAATGCCTTATATTTTTTAAGATTACTTAGGTAATCTATGTTACTTGGAAATATTCCAACTTGATTTAGTTATTCTAACAACATCAATACCAGAACATAAATCATTGCTATGTTATCCAAGCTGAAAATCCCAGCTTATAACATCCTATCATTTACAACAAAAAGAGCAAGATTAAAAATATGAGATGTTGTCTTGCATTTTCCTGAAAGTCGACATCCAATTTGTACTCTAACCCCCAAATTGCTACTAAGGACCAAATGTCAGGTTACTTCAAGTATGTGAATAACCCAAATGCAAATATCTACAAATTTAAGGATTTATTTTGTATATGTAAACTAATATTTAGATACATGCAACTTCACATTAAGAAAAAAAAAGTGGACATAACTCTTTTAGTTAGTTATAAAAGTTATACTGAAGACTTTTCTGTCTGAAAAATATTTAGAAAGAAAGAAGAACATCACACCATACTTCATTTAATATTTAGTCTGATTTAAAGATAAATTTCACCAAAGTTTCATGTTCCCAGTTACAGTGATTATCTACTGGTAAGAAAAGTACTAACTTTGACCAGAGGTTCAGAAGAATTAAACTTGAATTTTCTTAGTGATTGAATTGAAGGAAAAGACTGGGCCCAAGTTTTGAAATAATACAAAAACACTTCTCTCTAATTGTTGAGAGATCTTAAGAAGAAGAAATTCTGAATAAGGCTAAAAAATAAAATCTGAAAAGAACTGAGAGAATTAACTACTAAGTACATCTTCCAATAGGGCTAACTCCCCCCAGAGTACATTTTTCATACACATCACTTGGTCATTCCATGAGTAATAATTGGGAGGACATAGTCTCCAGGAATTCCTCAAGCTAAACCCTGACATACTAATGTCACTATAGAATTCACTAGTACAAGCCTAAGTAATTTTCCAGTAATGCCTTACATAGGAAAGTTCAGAAACATTAAAGAGAGAATATTCTTTGACAACGTGTGACTAGTTTAACAGTAAGGTCACTGCATTTCAAAGCTGCTTATTTGTACATTAACTGTATTACATATACCATGAATACATATAAATATTGAACATTTTGGTGAATAAGAAATTTTCATCTTTCTAAGCTACAAGGAAAAGAAACTCCAAGTATATTTCATACACAAAAAATATCATAAATTTCAAAACTTAAATTTCTATTCCAGTTTGACTTAAATTAATTTACCTCTTCTCAAGCTGTTTCAGATAATTCCATGGCCACGAAAGTCAGAGAAAATAGATAACACTCTAAGCTAGAGCTGCATAATGAACCAGTAATATGGCATCATAACTACTGCAAAGTCACAATATCTGTTTCTCTATTCTTCTATGTTTATAAACTTTATATGTTGAGGCAAAATTTAGAGGTCTGAAAGAATAGGTTATTTTTTCTTTTAATTTGTGAAGCTAGTTTTTTTTCCAAGTTAAAGTACTGTTAATCTTATCAATATCTTGAAAAATATTCATATATTTAAGAAATACACACCACAAAAGCAGAAACTATTGTAAAGTTTGAGGTAAAAAATTAATATATATGTAACTAACTGAGACCCAAAAACAAAACTTAGAAATATATCTGATGTTTCATATTCTACAAAGAAAGGTGATATATTGATTAGTTTATTTTGCTTGTCTTAAAACATTGCTATAATATCTTAAGCCTTATTTTAAATTTCTTTTCTTTTCATTAACAGGTGGACATGCAGATCCTTTTAGATGAGCAGCTAAAATCTAAGCTAAAGAATCAAGAACAAGAAGATAAAAAGAAAGTGGGAAACCATCCTCAATCCCACCTGTCAAATACAAACAAGGGCAAACTCTTTAAACTTTGGAGGTGACCATCTAGACCAGTGTTCATTAGAAAGTACATAAAACTTTTCAGAGAGAGCTGTTGAGTTTCTCACTATTTTACTGTGATTGAAATTACTGTATTTTCAGTAATTTAAAACTTAGAGTATTTGTAAAAAATGTGGATTTTTTTTTCTCTGTATATAGTGTATAGGTGAGAACGTAAAGAATTGGATGTTTTCAAGATAGAAAGATAGATGGCTTTTACATTTCATTTCAAAATTTAATTTATTCTTTCTATTTGTCAAACTAGAAGCTTTTTTTTTTCTTTGAAAGCAAAAGTGCTGCTTAGTTAATTTTTTCAACATCATTAAAAGAGAAGTATAAAAGTTTTAGTATTATGGAATCAACTTGAAAAATTGTTGTCATTTGAAGTCTTAGCTATAGATCATATTTTAAAATTAGTTAGTTTTAAATAGCTTTGGTTGAGTGAAAGTTATTGTTTGTTTGTTTTTCTTTTGTTAATAATGAATCAGTAAGTTAGTGAGAGACTTTTTGTCCCAGAACTCCTCGCTTCCAAAATAGTTACAAAAGATATGAAGAAATTATGTTAACAAAATTGTTTATTTGTCTTCAAAGATAAGAGTCTTGAACTTCTGCTATAATGGCTACTAGAACTCTATTAGGCCAATGAAGATACATTGCATAATGCGTGGAATATTATGATAATGCCAGTGCAACACAGGTCCAATAACGGTTATAACACATTCAGGAACAAACTCTACTAAATTTGTTAACATAATTTCCAGACACTTTGTATTAAATACAGAATGACACTACAGATTCATTTAACTTGAGATTTTCTTATGAAGAGAAAAGGATTTCAGTGATGTCAATTATTAATTCACTCAAATGCATTTATTCAATTTGAATTAAAATAAAACATGCAAAAGAAAAATAATGTTTTACTATTCTAGGTTAATTTGTTTCAGTACAATATTTCTCTTATGGAGTTTATATAAAATCAAATTATACTAATTGGGGAGGGATAAGTCTTTGTTGTTTCATTATTACTTCAGGGTCTCCTATCATTGGAATTTCCTGGTTGATTTAACCAGCTGCAGCCTTTTAGCTAGCTAATTCTGCTTTACTCGTGTAGTTAAATTAGTGTCAGTGGTGTAGATTAAGCTACCTGTGATCACAAACACACATAACTCGTGTAGATGGTTATGGTAGTCAATGTGGTGCTACAAGCTATCTGAATTCATTTTAAACTGGATAGGGAAAGTGACATAAAATTTTTACCTTAGCAAGGAATCAATTGTAGTTTTAACAGTACAAAATGCTCACTATCTACCATACGTTTTTAGATTCAGGTGAACATGAATGATGCCAGATGTGTCTTATCCAATCTTGAACAACCGTGCTTGTATATTCATATTCTGAACTTTTAGGTCAGCATTGATGTCAACTTCCTGGTCACTTAATTAGACCATCTGGGAATGCAATTCCTATGGTCTCTTGCCTGGTATGCAAAAATAAATACACCCTCAGGTTTTTTTTTTCTTTATTAATCCACCCTCATAGAGGGGGTATAAACAAAAATACATCAGTTATTCAACAATGAAAATGTCAATACAAATCTGGATAGTAATAAAAAAATATTTAACGTTAATTACTTAAATTACATACATAGAAAACTAGTAATAACAAACAAAAAAAATGTTTCTAAACTTAATAAAAATAAGATGATCTGAACTGATAAACATCCAAAATCAAATAATATTATCATACCAGATCATGACATAGGATGTAACCCTGAATACCTTCACTTACCAAATGTCCAGTGTCACGATGCTTGCTGAGTTTATACAAATTATAATTAAGTCGCATTGCATCAGGGTAGTGTATTTGATTTGATTCATGATTTTGTTCTGCAAAGTAGGTGTAGTTTTCTTGCCACCATCTTGGTCATACAAATTGTACTAAACCAAGGCTCTTATATATTGTCTACAACTGAACTTCATATTGGTAATTAACATTACATGAAAAGAGAAATTATTTCATTCCTTCCTCCTTTGTAAAAATGTTTTATGTTGTCAAATATTTTCTAAAGTGGAAAGTTATCAATCGGGTGACATACCTTCAATATTTTGTAATTCTAAACTAACATGTTAGGAGTAATGTCTTCATTACGAAAATTCCATGATATCATATATCACATTCAAAACAGTATGAATATAATATAAAATACAATGTACTTAATACTTGAAACCATTGGTACTTAGTGAAACTCCATAATTACACAATTGAGGAAAACAAAAACAATTGAACATTTCACAAATACATCATTTATTATGGCATGGTTCTACCAGTAAAGCATCATCAGGTAAAAACTGCACTAAATGGTCAACCAAAGAACTGAGGCCGGTGGGGAGGAGCTTAAGTTGATTTGATCAATTAGAATTTTGTCTGGATTTGTTTTCGTTCTTTTGTTAATTCCTAAAATTTCCAGATTATTTATTTTTTAACCTTTTTCATAGACGTGTAAACTTTTGCATTTTTTTTTTCAGATGAAATTTGTGTTTAGTTTTCATAAGGTATGATGCAAAAGTTGTGTCAATTTGTTCCAATATCCAGCTTCTTGAACGTTCTTTAACCCATTTTTTTCTATGGAATTTTCTGTCTGATATATTGAAGTCTTGGCACGTTAATTGGTAAACACCACTGTGGCTTTATTTCTCTATATTGTTTTTGTAGTTAACTACATTTTGCCCAGATTGTTTTTCCAGAAGACTGGTCTGTAGATTTATTTGTTAGGTGTGTTTATTTTGTGATAAGGTTTTCCGATGTAGTTTATCTTACACCATTTTTTTAGCGTTTTTGTTGTCATTTGGTACAGTATATGGGTTTATTGATTTTAAATTAATGGCCTTTCATTTTTTAATTGGGTCAATTAACTTAGATGTATAACCATTATTGACAGCAGTTTGTTTTATTCTTTTTAATTCAGTTTCATATTCTTTAGGTGACAAAAGTATGGAAAATGGGAAGTGGGTGAGACATTGGGTATTTTGAAGAAGTATTTATAATGGTTTCATTATAAGTCAGTTTTCTGAAAATTTTGAAGGAATATATGCTGTTATTATGTCAATATCTAAGTTTAGAAAATAAATGTTTTCTTTTTTGCCATATTCCATTTTATATTTAATAATTTATTTTGTGAATTTAGAAGAATTAAAAAATTATCAAGTTGACACTTGGAGCCTGACCAAAGACAAATCACATCATCAATATACCTGTACCAATATTTGACATGTTTTGTCTTATTTTCATCAATAAACAATATCTTCTTTGAAATATCTATGAAAACTTCTGACTTTTGCAAGCAAGTCATTAAATTTGAAGTAGTTTTGATCTAAATAAGTGGTTATTATTTTTTTTTTATTCTGGGCTATTACAGGGTTTACATTTTCTTTACCCAATAAATCACTAACAATCTGTACACATTCTTTGACAGGTATACTGGTGAAAGAACTACAGACTAAACAATTTTTACATTATTTGGTATTTCTACATTTTTTATTTTTTATAGAGTTTTTTATACTGTACTTAGGTTTGAAATCAGTTAGATTTTTGAAAATATTGTGTGCTTTTTGATAGTTTTTTAACCAGAAGCATTAATATAGGAAATAACAGGGATGGTAAGGATATTCGTTTTGGGTAGTTTAGGAAGTCCATACAGACAGGGTGGGTGAGGGTTCATAACACTTAACGACTTGGCTTGGTTATCATTACATATGCATTTGTTGTTCTTCAACATATATTTAATATCTTTGTTATAGTTTTTGATGGAGTCTTTGTTTAGGAGCATGAAATTGTTAGATACAAGGACATCATTGATTTAATCATGATAATCTTGTTTTTCTAGTACTACAGTTGTATTACCTTTGTCCTCTTTAGTGATTATTAAACTGTCATTCTTAATTTTAGACTTTATTGATTTAATCAGTTTAGTCTCATAATTTCCTTTTTTAGCATAGTTCTTGGAAGAAGTTTGAATAATTTTAGAGCATTTGTGCTTTGTTATAAACTCAGATTCAGCATTAAGTGCTACCTATATGTCTATTGCAAGATTTTCAAAGTCAGAAATGCCCAAACTGGTTCTGGGGCAATATTTTACACCTTTAGTTAGTAAATTAGATTAATTTTTCATGAACTCAGACTTTGTAAAGTTTACTAACTTTGGTTATAAAAATATATGGTATCCTACTTCTAGATTTGAATTTTTTTTATGTTTAATCAAACTATCCAGTTTTCTTTTCTGATTCAATTAAGTACTGTGTATCAACTGAGTCAAATTTTCATGTATGTCTGTGTCCAACAAATCAAATTTCACTATGTGAAGCTGGAAACACAGTTCACTTTGAATTAATTTGAGGTATGTACTTACATTATCTCAAACACTATGCTGCTTCTTGATCTCTTTTTAAGCCAGATCTTCGTGGCTTTGTTGGCTGGACTTGATGTGTTTGTGGTCTTCAGTAAGATATTTTTTTTAGGGGGTGGGGTATATTCACACCACCTCCTACTGTTGGGCTTGATCTTCTTTCCAGATGGACATGCTTTCTTTACACCACTTTACTCTACCTACTCTTCTGAACATACTTTAACCATATCCATGATGAGCCTGATTCAGCTGCACTTCTGCACAGTCCTCTTACCACTCTGTTCCTGAATCCCAAGTCTCACAGCCATTCACGAAGTGAAGTTGCAACAAAACCTTGGCAGCTAACTTCAAATGGATAGCATGCCTCTTTCCATCCTCTATCCTCATAAATAGATATCAGTTCAACAAATCTGGCGTACTTTCATTCATGACCTTCCTGGATGTTATTCTTCCATGACACACTCATCTCACCAAAAATCACTAACCAACCAGATAACAATATCTGGCATGAGGTTTGTAACTACAATTTCATGTGGAAAATTTCCATCCCCTTCAAGATCTACTGACATTTTCCAGTCATTTGCACAGGAAAATATGCTGCTTCTCCATGGACTGCTGATGTAACTACCTGGTCCAAGACCCTCTTTGACAATAGTGATGAACTATCCGGAACCAGTTGCTACCTCTTTTTCATTAGCTTTCTGTACTCTTTCTTTGACTGCATCAACAATCACTCGAAGTACATTGTTATGATGCCAAATGTACATTTCGCCAGATAGATTTGGTGGGCATGAACTCGGGATATGCTGCAATGTTCCCTTCCGGGTATTTCTTATTCAGTCAGGCCAGCTATGGATATTTATCCATATGTGAACTACCTGGAAATAAACAGCACTTGTTCACTTAATGAGGCTACTTTGTGATGCAGTTATCTCATCCTTTTAATGTGCCTAGTAAGCCATTTATACAATATTTAATTAGGACAGGGTGCAGCCAGGTAGTGTATGATACTTTAAGTACTCATTGCCCTGCTAACTAGCTGTAACTTTCTGGTCATTATTTAGTGTAGAGATTTTAAATTGCTGCTACATGAGGATATTGGAGATAGTAAAAAAAGAATGATTAAAAGGAACATGAATGACTTCAAATAACCTGCATTGTACTGTAGAGACTATAGCTATACAGCATGACATCTGTGTCATATCCCTGCACATATGTATTTGCCTTGGCTATTCATATAATGCATTTCAGGGGAATCCTCAAATTTTTAATAGTGGTTGTATTGTATGTTGTTTAGATCACATGACAAAGTCATGAGACTACCAAATATCTTCATCAGGATAATATGTTTTGACAAAAGATTTGGGATAAACATTGTGGCAGCTTATCTGACGTTCATTGCTTTACTTCTGTAGCTGTACATTGCTGTTTAGCCATGATAAGCTTAAAAGAAAACAGAATAAACTATATTTTCATTTGTACAAAAGATTTCCCTTCTTGTCGTGAAACAAATGATTGTACCTTAAAATCATGTTTTAGTGGTTTTCACATTATGTAAAAGAAACCACAACATTAACACAAAATAACCAAAAATTAAAAAAAAGTTCCACATAGGGAACACTGCCACCATAATGAATAAGTCAAACCAACTTACTCTTGCATAATCCATCTTTATAATTTTATAACATAAGTATTTCACATAGTGATACATATAAACATTTTTTTGATTTACTCATAGACTGACAAAGTTGTAAACCACATGCTCTAGGGCAAAGAAGCTGCATTTTACTAAGGTTATTACATACTATATTTTTACTCATCCAAACTCTGTATTACTATTTAGCAATTTATATGTGAAAGATGAATTGTTTTTCTTACTAATCTGAAAGAATCAATTTTATATTTCTTCACGAAGAGTGAAGTGTGATACCAGAGTACAACTTCTCAAATCCCAGGATTAAAGTTATTAGCTGAATAATAACATTTTTAGGTTTGTCTTACAATCAACCATCCATTTTTATAAAAGTATCAATAGTAGTATATCAATGCAAAATATTGTAACACTGATTATTAATGATATCAATCAGTTTATCATAAATACCTAAGGGACCAGTTAAATATCATTATTAAATTTGTGTGTTTGATAAAAATGCATTGTTTGTTCTTTAATATGAAAATCTAGAAATGTGATTATACAGTTTTTGAAACTTTAAAGGTTGTCTCAGAATGTTAGTGGTTATTTCTGTGTTTGATTGTTGGACAACTATGCTGTTCATTTCTCCGTAACTTATAAAGTTTCTAATGCATCCTATAAGATTTTATATAATGTTGATTAGGTTATAACATAGAGATTTTGATGGCTTAAAAACATTAACAAGATATGACTGAAAAAAATATGCCAGAAAAACAGTCATTACAAGAAATAACTGTATTATTGAATAAGTGTTGTTTATGCAAATGAAGAAAAACAAAAATGTTCTTAGTTGATGGAATGGTAAATTCATATTTATGAAGTTTCTTTATCTCCATATTTAGATTTTATGTTTATGCTAAAGATGTCCACAATAAAAATGTATCATTCTTTTAACTTTAGACATCATATTAGCTGCAAGTGATATGTTGAAAATTCCCTGTCAAATAATAGCATCTCATTTTCTAGTAGCTATAAGTTACATATTGCACTATGCCTTATTTTTAGATTCATGTTTTATATAATTAAGATTTTTTTAAATATTCATTTAATTTTTTTGTGTGCATAAAACACATACAGTTTCAACTATTGGGCAAACATTTCAAACACACACAAAAAATTGGGGTATTGAAATTCAAATAGTTAAAAAGAGTGTAAAAATATGGAAATATTAGTATACACTTGATTTTTTGACATATGCTGAATTACAATATTTTTAGGTTTGCCTTTAACTAATAATTCATTGTAATAAAAGAACTAGTGTATCAATGCAAAAGATTATAACTTATTATAGTGTTCTACAGCAAAACCTATGAGTTATTTATTGTACAATCTAACTATCAGATATTAATTGTTTTTGTTTCATAGCAACCACTTTATTGAAAAAAACTCTGACAACACAAGTTATCATGTGTTTTTAAAAGAATATCTGTTCAAATGTGAATTAAAAGAATTGGTCTAAAAAGACATATATGTGAAAATATTATGTCAGTTTCAAGAGCAAATGGTAAAATGATCAAGATAATAAACAGTGCTTTGTATTTAATGTAGATCATCATAAAAACCAATAAAACTTTATCTTAAAAACTGTTTTTTATCTGCTTCAACTCTGCTCATAATTCCTCTGTTTTTTCTACATGTTATTTTTATAATATTGCTTATCATGAACTTCTAGCTGCCATCTTTAGTTGTGCAAACTGTTTAGTACTTGGTATTTCATCTACTAGCTCCAGCTGTTTTTTGTGGAAATTATACAATGTAGTGCATACATTGTATGGTAAACATCACTTGATTGCTTGAAAAGCAAAAATTGCCACTTCCTTTCAGCCAGTGATTTTACTACCCTATATTTATTATAATTAAGTGGAAATCACACAGTGTAGTAATTACATTATATTGTGAACATCAATTGATTGCTTGGAAAGCAAAGAATGCCACTTCCTTTCTCTTAATGATCCTACAATCAGTGACTACTCTAGTTTTGTTGAGGACAATCGAAACCTCTTACGATGGCCTTCTAATCAACATGACTGCGCTCCAATGATCCATGGAACCTTTTACGATGGCCTTCTAATCAACATGACTGCATGGATCATTGGAGCTGTTTCTAAGCCTCTAGATCTGGCTTCTTCATATGAATCATCCTGAACAGCCAGGTAAGTACTCTCAGCTTTTTCCTCCTCATCTTCAGAGTAAGAGTGGGATAAAACAATGATATTTGTTTGATAATCTTCTCTCCTGACCCTTTGTCATGTATAGGTGCAGCTGGTTGACATGTATTATGTGCTTTCATGCTCCTTGCAACTGGTGTAACTCATATGTCAGTGGACTGAATCATTCAAGCACAGTAGTAGATCTGGTCTGGCTGGAGCCAATAGGCTTTCATGCTATTGGCATGTATGTTAGATGAAGTTTTCACTTTTTGCCTATCTTAGGCATGATGAGTTGATCATAGTTTGAGATGCAGTGACGTAGCTAGTTGATTGTTCAGCTTAGGTTGTAGGTTATGAATTAGGAGTGCTTCCTTTTTTCTTAGCATCCATTCCTCATTCACAGAGTATTATTCTGAAGTGTTCGGTTTTTCGATAGAGTCTTTACTTTACCTTTGAGTGTCTATTGCAAAGTATGGGTTCTTCAGTTACTCTTTCCAAAGCTCTCAAACTTTACTCATGGCAGCCATCCAGTAGTGTAAACTCGTACTGTATGACTTGTTCTTGCTATGTTAGAAATGGTCCAAACTCCCACATAGTGTATAGGTTCTGGGTATTCAACAAATAGACAATTATCATCATATGATAACACATTCCACTTGCAATTCCGTGTTGTGAGCCTAGGCAATAATGCATGGGTAAATCATACTCATGCAACCCTGTTATCCAATGCTATCATTGTTGTATAGTATCTGCATGCAGGAGCCATGAGTATACAACTAGCATACATGATAACACATTATAGTCTGTCATGCAGCTGCAATAACAATGATTCAATTCTGCTATCACTGCCATCATTATCTAACAGGAACTCGCAACACTGTCGTGGATATGTCAACACTGCAGCTTCTGTGACTAGAATGCTTTCTTGCATTCCTCATTCTATTTAAAGCGTATTTACTCTTTAATGAGAGTCAGTAATGACGATGTAATCATGAAGTTATCCACAAATTGTCTGTGATATGATGCAAAAACTGAAGAAACTGTAGACTTCATGTTTGGTCATAGGTTGAGGTCAATCTTGTACTGCTTATATTTTAGTAAGATCCATACAAATTACTTTTATTCTCACAATATGACCAAGAAATTCCGCTTCTGTTCATGTCAATGAAAAAATTGGCTGGTTCCAGTTTCAAGCCTACATTTTTTACTGACTGGAATACTATTTCAGGTTCTCAACCGTAGAACGAAAGGTGCGACCAACGCTAAGACGTCATTCATGAAGGTCGTGCACTTCTCCCATTGAATCCCCTTCAGAGTAAGCTCCATTAGACCCTCAAAAGTGGTGGGCAAAACTTGTGAAAGCCATCTCTCATGTTGAAAGCAGTCTTGGGTCTAATTTTGTTATCCAGCTCAACTTTCCAATATATAGAAGCTAGGTCTAATGTATTGAACAACCAGGTTTCTTCCAACAAAGTTCAGACATTTATCTGTTTGCAGTAATGGAAAGGTTTCAAAACGAGTTAGTGCATTCACTTTTCTAAAATCAATACAGAACCTTTGTCTACCTTCTTTATTCCTGACAATCCTTACTGGAGATAACAAAGCACTCTCTCAAGGTTATAATATCCCACCCTTTAATATTTACTGTACTTCACTACTGGCTGCATCCATAGTGCGCCAGGGAAGCCTGTGTGCCAATTACTTATTACATGTGTCATCTATCCTTCCTTGGACAGGTAGCTGATTAAGCTAATGTTACTTTGCATGGGCTCTATAGCCACATTACACAGCACTTGCACACTAGACATTATCTATAATAAACCATGGAACATTACTAGTATACATGGAGGTATGGTGGCTTCTTCACTCACATACATTTGTGCAATATGCTCTTCCTGGGGTTAATCTGACTGACATCAGATAATTTTTCCATGGAACATTAGTTCACCAGTTTCACAGCTGACTAATAAGATCTATAGCATGTCCATCCCAAGGATCCTGATGCCAGAACCTGTGTTAGCATTGATTACCTTTATTCTGTAAGTGGAGCTTCTAGACACAGTCTGAATGTGATCTCTCCATTCATGTCTAGTTTATCTCCATTTTCCAGACCAAAATTTGTGTTTATTGGCTCGAGTGGTGGTATTACTTAAAGCACATGATATATCATGAGATCTACCAGACTTCTGGACAACTTTGTATAGCTTAAGCTAGGCTGACCTCCACACGGTTTGGTACAAATTATCCATTGCCTTTCCCTCCAAGTCAGTAGCCAGCCCTGATTTCGGCTCTTCAAGATTCCTGGAGCTTTATCAGCAATACTCACCACCTGATTTTGGCTCTCCTGCATAATTGTGCCATTGATCAAAACCAATAGCTTTGACTACTTTGCTGCTTGGCAAGGTATGAGAAATTCACTTGAAAATGGCCCATCTTTCCACATTTGTTCCATAATGACATCCTGGTGGAGGTATCAATGGCAGTAAACCATTGGAGAACTGGAATAACCCTGCTCATGCATTGCTTACCAATGAAATGGCATTTCAGTGCCAGCATATGTAGATAATTGGTTAATCCTCTGCTGGGCTCGAAAATAGTGGGATGTGAGCTACTGGGTAGGATAGTCTATCCAAGGTGAAGTCAATTTAGCTATCACTAAAGGTTTTCTCTTCTTATATCGTATTAGAAGTTACCATTTTGTGTCACATTGCAATAGAAACTACCTCAGTAAAGATGAGAAAATGTTTCACACCCAGGTGGTACCATTTCATTTCACTGGATAAACCTTCCTCAAACTTGTCAATAAGGATAGCCTCGTGATCTACTGAGACAATTGCAGGGTAAGCTTAACCATGCAAGTAATGCAGATTTTCCTTCTAAGTAGTCAATATTTCTTTGACATCCTTTTTGTGAGCCTTGAACTCAACTTGGTGAATGATGTATTTTCCAAGAGGTTGGACTTTCTGTAAAAATCATTAATGACTGTCTTACAGCTATACAGTTGTTCTACACTCAAGTTCTTGATGGCTTCTAGGGTTGGACTGTCTAGACTCATTACCAGGCACTGCACAGTCTGTTCTGGAGGCAAGCCATTCCAGGCAGTTACATGTCTGAAACACTTAAGAAAGAGGTTCAAATTCTCCTTGCTGTACCCTCAAATGAAACTGGAATGATCTGCTTTATCTCATTCACCATACATCATGACCATATCTAGACCCTTTCTTTCCTTCATTATTTTCTAGCCATCACCTGGCTGAGATGTTATAGATATCATGGACATAGTGTGGTATATAGTCTCAGAGGCCTCTGCTATAAGGTGGAAGAAGGATAGTATGCTGGGATTGGCTCTGAACGACAGTGGACTTGACGCATGACTGTCTAGACCAGTGGTTCTCAAACATTTCAGTCTTGCATACCACTTTTTGTTTAATTTTTTTAAATTTCAAACCCAGGCCTAATTAAAGAAAAAGATAAAACTTAGTAACAAAAATTCATATTTTTAATACTTACCCATTAATGCGAAAGATGCGATTGTTTTTACTGGCATGATTGAATAATTTGTGGTACCATGTTTTGTCAATTTTATGGGAAGAAAAAATACTGGCGAGTCTATGTAAGTAGAGGGTGAGACTATAAGTGAGGAGAGTTATATGTATATGTACATGGAAAGCTCAGATTGGGCTTATTACAAATTTTATATTTTTTTTATGTTAATTGTGTCGTGTATCACCGACATTAAGTCCATGTACCACCAGTGGTATGCATACCACAGTTTGAGAATCCTTGATCTAGACAATATACCTTCCGGGTCAGAGAGGCTTACTGATATTCTCATGATCCATTACTTCACTATTCAATGCCCACCATCTCACCTGCTGATAAGATCACCCCTTTAAACAGATGTTGTCTGCCAATGATGTTCTCTGGTGGATTCAATCAGAGCTAAATTTAGTAACTCTGGCTGGCATAAGTCAGAGAGTTCTATACAGACCACCCTACTTGGTCTCAGACTCACCAGATGCCACACCACCACGATGATCCTCAGTCATCAGTATTTTCTTCACACCAAGGTCAGTCTTCCTAGGAAGAGCACAGAAAGCCATTCTGAGGACACTAGACATTAGTAGTTCTTCTTACTGAGTTATTGGGTGTAATGAGGTGAAGTCATGGACCCTTGTAACATCAGCAAAAGCCCAACATTCAGAAGATGACTTCATTACCTAATAACTATCTTGCAATCGTCTACCTTCAGTGACTGACCCTTCCTCTTGGTTATAATTCTTTTTATTGCGAAAAATGGCGTTTCTCTAACTAAGAAGTCTTTTAGAAATGAATACCGCAAGAGTTCAAGGAAAAGGCATTACACACTTCAGCAGGAACAACAAACTCCACAATGAGATATTCTGTGGTCATGGCAC